GGGCTTTAAGCAGAATCCCAGGGTGGTGGAAGTTGACAGCAATGAAAGTAATTCAGCCCTTGAGTTCACTTGCAGGGCTCTGCTCCTCTGACTGGTGTCAGCAGAGCCTCCAAAATGAAGTTGCAGCCTGGGAAGGCCTTAAAAGCTGCGAGGCTTCATGTCCAAAGAGAATTTTGATTCCATTCTTTTATTTCAAAAATCCTAATCATTAGGTGTTAATTTAATGTAAAAATAAAGTCTCCTTTGACTCAAATTAGACTCCCAAGGTATCAGTGGAATATACTTGGCAACGGAGCAGAAGTGATTTTCCGATGCCTTTTTCCAAGATGTTTTGAGTTGTCGGTTCAGTCTCCTGCCTAAGGTTTCCTGGAGATCTCCAGATAGTAGCCAGACTTCAAGCTGTTTAGTTACCAGTCCCATCCAAGGGAGGAGCCTGTCCTAGATTAGAATGGCAGAGGTTCTTTCTACAAGTGTCTCTTCAGAAAAAATATCTAAATTTGTATATTGGGGGGGACATAATTAAAACTAATAACTATGATGGGTCAGATTTTTGATGGAAGCCATATCATTACTATGATATTATGATCTGAGAATAATCAAATCAACATCTGAATCTTAGGCAAATTTCTAAAATCTAGTAAGCCAAAGTAATATTTGAACTTTCCTCCCTCCCTCCCTCCCTCCCTCCCTCCCTCCCTCCCTCCCTTCCTTCCTCCCTTCCTTCCTTCCTTCCTTCCTTGGAGGGAAGCACCTAATTTGACTATTAAATTAAAAGAAATGGATTCTTAAAAGCAGCAGGCCCAGAAGTTGTGTATGGACTAGAGAACCCGTATTTCTGGGTTTGAAGCAATACTTCCAAGACCAGAGGTTCAGGCTTCTCATTTGCCTAAGGACTGAAATCTGATCAAATTAAAAAGCATGTAATTATCACTGAGCACTTGATTTAGCATCCCATGTGTGCCAGTGCAGGAAGAAGAGAGAGCTAAAATGCCTGGAGATATTACAGCAGCTTGTAATAACTTGTTTGTGGCAGGCATCATTTCAAACTTTACTTACTTTATTTGACTTTACCTTACTCTAATGGGCTTTTCATCCCAGAGGATCAGAGTAGTTTCAAAAAGTCTTGAAACCACAAAAAGGCCACAGTGCTTAATAATACCATAAACATTTGAAAACAAAGCTAGTTGTAAAACAAACCATATTCAAACTTCATTCTCTTCCACAAATGCTGGAGTGAACATGCATATCTCAGCTGGCCTCAGCCCCCATCATCCGGCATGCCTGCAGGTCTCCCAGAGGGCCAAGCAGGGGAGCCGGAGGGAGGGGGGGAGAGCAGCGGCCGGATGGGACCTTCCGGCTCCCCACAAGCCCCCCAGGGCTAGGAACTAGGAAGCTCTGACATTTAAACTCCTGAGCCGCCCTTTCATTGAATAATTTTTCTGAACTTTCTAGGACACCTTCTGTTGGGCAGGCTTGCTGGCCAAGAGGAGGAAGTGGATCCTGCGGGAGGGGGGGCAAGAGCCCTCCCTCCCCACCCCACCCGCACTGTAGGTGCTCTCTGGCCTTTCCGATTCTTTTCAAGGCAGGTTAATGCTGGGGGGGGGGGAGCTGTCCTTGAAAAACAGGGCAGACATAGCTTGCCTGTTAGTCTCCCCTTCTGTCTAATCTATATCTGCCTAACCATAATAGGGTTTCATAGATTGAAAGTCAGTTGTGATTTATAAGCTGCTTTGTCTCGGGAAGGTTTCTCCCTCCTCCTCAACCCCTTATACCCTTTTTTTTTTTCAAAGAGGAACTTCATTAAACTGGTTTATGAAAATGATTTTAAAATGGAAACAATTACTATTTCAGGCTGAATAGGTAGTGATACCCAGGCAGGGCTTGGTGGAGTCCAGTTGCACATGCTTAGCTGTTTGTTATTGTTGTTAGTTGCAAAGTCGTGTCCGACCCATCGCGACCCCATGGACAACGTTCCTCCAGACCTTCCTGTCCTCTACCATCTTCTGGAGTCCATTTAAGCTCACGCCTACTGCTTCGGTGACTCCATCCAGCCACCTCATTCTCTGTCGTCCCCTTCTTCTATTGCCTTCAATCTTTCCCAGCATTAGGCTCTTCTCCAGTGAGTCCTTCCTTCTCATTAGGTGGCCAAAGTACTTGAGTTTCAACTTCAGGATCTGGCCTTCTAAAGAGCAGTCAGGGTTGATCTTGATCTAAATAGGGTTTTTATTGTTGTTGCTGCTGAGAATAATTGGAGGATTATATAGTATGTTTCCAAGCCTATTTGGGCATCCATAGAGACAGAATTGCTTGGACAAGACTTTAGTTGAGCTGCCTTCAACATACTTGATTTCTAAATAGTGTTCTGCATAGAAAGCAGAGTCATAGTTCAGAAAAGTAGATTAGTCAGAAATGGTAGCTGACTCTTGTTTCAAGGCAAGATAAGACTTTTTTTAAAAAATAGAACATAGAGGCCATTTCGCCCCCACTGGTGGAAAGCTGGTTCAAAGTGTGTAACTGAAAGTCTTTTCTTTCCCCCACCTCAGACTCCTTCACAATGTGCTGCAAAACAAAATGGAGATTTCAGGCACTGCTGGTAATTGTTGTGCAAATATAATACTCCCTCCAAGCTGCTAAGCAGGCCAGTGCTCTGTTTACATGAAGAGGCAGCCAGCTTTCCAAGTGTAATGAGTCAGCTACATGAACAGAAGGGGTGTGGAATTAATCTGGCATCCTTCTGGCTTGCTCTCAGAAAACCAGGTTTTGAAACTCCCTGCAAAATAGGTATACCTCCTAACTACAAATGGCTCTCTTGCTCTCCAGAATAAGCAAACAGTTTTTTTCCCCCAGCATAATTGAACCAAATGCCCTTCAAGGATTCATTTAGAACTGCAATATCCATTTGGAGGTGGCTGTCAATGAATATATTCAGAAAGGATTGAACGTCTGGGCTCCCATTTCCCACAGGCTGCTTTCTATCTTATCTTAAGTGCTTGGCTAAAGAAAATGAGGGCAGTGCATGCTGATGTCACGCAGAAGCCCTGTCTGAATAAAGGACTGTGAGCTTGATTATTTCTCGGAGACCTGGCTAAATGTGCCAACAACCATCACAAAATGAGGGTGGAGATGATGCAGTATGTTCCCCATGCTTATTGTTAGCCCAGACCTAACTTTTCCCCCTGATTGGACAATTGACTGTAAATCTTGAATGATCTGTGAGAGCTGGCTGGGGAATTCTGGGAGTTGAAGTCCACACATCTTCAAGTTGCATGCTTGAGAAACACTGATCTATGAGATTTTAAAGAAGCAATTTCTGAGGAAAGGGAGCTTGGTTGAAGCTTTAGGATCCGATGGTGTTTTAATGGGGGTTTATGTTTGCAAAATGAGCATTTTGAAAAGAATGCTATGCAGGAGTAATTGGGGCCTTAACTGACCATTAAGAGTTGCCTAATAATTGTTGGCTGAATTTTATTTAAAAGAATATATCTTGTCTTTTCAACTGACAAATGGCTTTCAAGGCTGATATTAGAAACAAAGGATTATTGGGGATTTATCTACTTAATATTTTAGTGTTGGCTTTAGTGTCCAAGATACTTGTAATTCAGAGCTTTAAATGCTAGAAAAGGTCAGGAACCTGTAAAGAGAGCAGGCCAGATATCTGATTGAATAAAAGAGATTCACATAACTCACCCTGCAAGTTAATATGTTACTCACCCATGCTGTAAATGAAATTTCAGCTGCTTTCATTATATTATAGAACATCTTACTGTCAAAATTTAGTAAAAAAAGAAGAAAATCATGGCAATTATAGCATGGTGTGTCATCTTTTCCAAGATAGGATTTAGGAATTTTTTGTCTTGAACCTTTATTGTGTGGTTTCTTTGTGTTCAATCGCTGGACCTGGAGCATCAAAGTGATGAGAAAGATGTTGTGTTTTTCATGGGGCTTTTGAGTCTTGTATACATCTCTCCTTTCTCTTTCCCCACAATTCATGTTGTAAAAATTTCAAGATTCCTGGGAGAAAAAAAATGAAAGGTTGTTTTGGACACCTCTTTCCCCCAACCAATCCTTACTTAGTCACAGTACTAGAGTCTCCCTGCTCTTTGAACAATTTCTTTCAGTTGACTGTTTTAAAAAAAGAAAAAGGGAAGGAGTGGAAAGCTTGCTGCATACATGTAGCCAAATTATGGGACGTGGCAACTATCTTTATGTGGCAGGTAATGAGGGAAACCTTTTTCAGTGCTGTGCTTTCTTAGGTTAAAACAAAGTCTTTTCTGATCCAGGCGATTGAATTTTATGTGCAAATGACTGTAAAGGGTGTTGGAGATAAGTTACAATGTTTACTACTATTATTGCTACTGGTGCTACTATGTACTGCAAAATTCAGTTGTTTTTTTTTATCCTGTAACCAAGCAACTCACGGCATGGGTAACAAAGCTTTGTTGCTGTGCTTCTGAATTGTGCTTCTCCAAGACACACACATGCACACGTGTAACCTTGAGTGGCATGGGGAAGACATTTTCTCAGTGTGCAAAAAAAATGTTAGATGCCGTCTTTATAGTTTTCCATCTTCGCTTCCTTCTAACAGCGGTTTGGTATCAGAAGCAAATTTCTCTGGCATTTTATGTGACACTCCCACGAGTATCAGGAGAATGCAATTTTAATTGCAACAGACATGTGAGCAAGGAATTACGGTTTGATGGGAAAGTATGTGCATGTATGCAGATTTTTAAAAAAGACGATTCCTCTAAGGAATCCAGAAAATGGTCCTCCGGAGCCATTTTCTCGGGCGGCCTTGGAAGCGCTGCCGGCATTCCTTCTTTGCAGGTGAACCGGAAAGGCGGAATTCTAACGCCCGGCGTCCCCAGACAGATCCCATCAGAGCCCTTGGCCTGGCCGGGTCTGGAGAGGCTCAACCCGTCTCTCCATGTTACCACTCACCCCCTCCCCCACTCTTTTCTTCTATCTAGACCATGGTTCATCTGTCTGTCTCCTTATTTCAGACAGTTGATGATGAAGCGACGGCAGCATAAATGAAGGACAAGTAAGGAAGGCAGAACGATGCCCAAGGGTGGGTGTTCTAAAACACCACAATCGGACGATTTCTCTCTCAGCAACAACATGGTGGAGAAACAAACTGGGAAAAAGGTAACGTGTCTTTTTCATGTTTTCAGTACTGGGCTGAATTTTGTTGGGAGAACCTTCTTCATGTGCTCCACCCACCCCCACACCTTCCCCCACCTGGCAGCACCATTTACCTGCCCGCCAGCCTGCTTGTGAGCCACCTGGGCCTTGCAGTTTCCCGCCCGCTTCTCCACTGACTTGGTTGTGGGAATGCTTCACTCATTGACCACAGGATTCGGTTAATGACAGCAAACAAGCCTGCATAGATTTCTGTTGCTAAGCAATGCAGTCACTCTTTATGACCGCATGTCTTAGCAATGGAAATTTTTCAACAAAAATTCACGGACTACCTGTTTATAGTTGCAAATGATAAAATAGGTGTTGCTGTGGTCTTCTTGCAAATATTTGTTTCTCCAGCATGAGGATGGATAATCCACGGATTGGGTTTCCTGAAGTCCCTTCTACCCAATAGACTAAGTCTGAGAGTTAGCCACGCCTCCCGCTGGGCTGTGCTGCCCTAGTTCCGATTTAGTCTTATACCCAGCAGGACGCATTGGTTCCCTCTCAGATTGTATCAGGTTACTTTTTCGTGTATTATCCTTCCTCCTTCTGTAGAATTTATGGTTTTGTCCTATCTCTTTCTTCTTTAGCCTTAATTTGTTCCCATTTGCCTTTCTTTCTCCTCCCCCGCCTTCTGGGCTATCTAAGCCCACGAGACTTTTTTTTTTTTTTCAAACAGCCAGCCGAGCTGCGGCTCCGCTGATTGCTCCATCTGGTCGGCGGACTTCCGCGGAAGCCCTGAAAAACCGCTGATCAGCTGGGCTTCAGCCCGACGATCTCAGGATTCACTGACCTGCCGCGCGACCAGCGGCCGCCATTTTGGCGATTGAACTAAAGGCTGTTTTTTGGTGGAGGAGAGTTCTCTCGTTCTCCTCCATTCTATTTGAAAATCAACCTTTTCTGAGTGCATTTCTCAGAAATTCCCCGGGCCTATTTCAATTGCGGCTCCTGGATTGCACGCTAATCAGCTGGGCCTCGGCCCGAGGATTCCCGGCCTCGCCACGTGCTCAGTGGCCGCCATTTTGAATGACCCTTATGACCGTTTAAACCTGTGAAGTTATCTAAAATTCCTTCCCCAGGTTCCACTTTCAGCAAATGGAAGAGAATCAGTGTGGGGAACACTTGTCCATCATAAGATCTTATCAGGAGAATTGCATTTAGCGTGCCTTCAGGCAGCCTTGCAATCGCCTCACATGTGGACGGATGCCATTTTGAGTAGCCCTTTTTTTGTGATTTTGGAGCCCTATTGCCTTACAGCAATATTCCTGGCACATCCACTTCACATTGCCTCTGGCAATATTTTGGGTGCCTTGAAAGATTACATACTTCCTTAATTGGAATTGTTATTTCTGCATTACTACTCCAAAAGATTACTGGCCTTCCACAACACACTGTGTTTCACAGTAGCCTTATCAGGAGCTCACACTGGTTTTACCAGTTTTCAGCAGTCATCATATCAGGCCTTACACTGTGGTTCACAGTAGCATTCTCAGGAGATCATACTGGTTTTCCCAGTTTTATCAACAGTCTCCAATCAGGCCTCTGCTCCTATTCTCATTGAGATCCATTTTCAGTCCTGTACTAAGGATCTCCATCGTAATGGCAGAAGATAAACAGCCTCAGGTTGTCCTGTCTCCTACCAGCTCCCCAAGTAAAAAGAAACGTAAATCCTCCAAATTGGAGGCAGCAGGGAAGCTGAGAGCAAGGGCCAAAACATTGGCTAGCAAAGCTCCATCCAAAGCGGCTGAAAAGGAAGCCACTAGGAGACATTTGGCCCTAGAGAGGCAATTCTCTAAAGCCCAAAGGGAGACTCCGAGGGAGATTCCCCCAGCTCCCACTACCACGCCTGAGGGCGCCCTGTTTGGTCCACAACTAACCACGACTGTTCAGGTCCACAGACCATTTTCCCCAGACATGGAGGTCCAACAGAGGCCCATCAGCCCTATGGTTCCAAATCCAAGTGTCAGCTGAGTGGCCCCACCACCCAGTACTCAACCAGGACCCTTGGCCATATTCACACCCATGGCTGCTTGTCTCCGTCCCGAGATTCCTCAAGCAGTCTGGCCAGAACAGCTTCAATCAGTGCTCACTCAGGTCTTGGCACAGAGTATTGCCTCCTTACAGAGACCCAAGCCTTTATCTTCCACTCAGTCCCACTCTGAGCCTCCAGAATATGCCTGCTCCATTGCCTCTGAGTATTCATCTCTTGACAGAGAGTCTTATTCGGATCTGGAGGAAACACGAGATCCACCATTGTCTGAGGATGAGGAAACACATCAGGAACCCTCTCCCTTCGTGGGATTATTTGATCCCACGTTATTCAGATCCATTCTGGCTAAGACCTCCGCAGCATCTAAGATTGCGCCCGAGCAAGAACCACAACCCACCCCTTCCACCAGTAATACACCAGATCCACTGTTTTCTGAGCCAACCGTGACCCAAAAACATATACCGTGTCCCCCGTTTTTCATTCATACGGTGAAGAAACAATGAGCTAGTCTTAGTGCCCCCCCTGTTCCAGGGGCCACCGCTAAAAAACTATTCAATGTGGCTCCGTCACTGTCAGATTTACTAGAGGTCCCGGTGGTGGACACAACTCCTATCTTCTTCCCCTCCACCATACCAGGTGATATGGCAGAGGCCTTGAGGCCGGAGGAACGAAAATTGGAGTTTTCTTTGCACAGGTCACATCAGGCATTCGGATGGGCAGTGAAGGCTTCCACTTCAGCATCCTTCTTTACCAGGTCTTCTATCATTTGGCTTCGAGAGCTTCAGGTCATGATTCCCCAGGAACAGGTGCGGGCCCACCAGACCTTGGGTAAGTTGCTTGCAACGGCAGAATACACAGCGGATGCCACACTTCGTGCAGCCAGATTTTCGGCCAGGGCAATTGCCGCTAACGTATCAACTTGCAGGCTTCTCTGGCTGAAACAATGGCGGGCAGACTTAAAGTCCAAATGGTGTCTGGCCACCGCACCTTACACTGGGGGTCATCTGTTTGGGGAAGCTCTCGATCCCTACTTGGTGGAAAATCGGGACAAGAAGAGGGTGTTAGTATACCAGGCCAGGCGGGCGACAGGAAAGCTAGCCCGTATTATCGAAAACAAACTTTTCGCAATACTTCGGGGACGGAGTGGTCTCAACCACCTCGCTCTTTCCCTCCCAAGGTTGAGCGTCAATCGGACCGGTTTGGACCTAAACCCAGACAGCAAGTTCAATCAAAATGGCCCTTTCAAGGCGCGGGGTGGGGGGCGTCCCTTTAGGAGGAATAAATGACTCCAGGGAGGGACCCCCCATAGGTGGCAGGCTTTCCCTCTTTATTCACAGCTGGGAAGCCACCACCACAGACGTTTGGGTTCTATCCATCATAGAAAACGGTCTGTCATTGGAGTTCCTATACAGACCACCGGATTGGTTCATCCTTAAATGGTTCATCCTTAAATCGGTTCATCCTTAAACCCGACCAAGAGGAACCTCCTGAACGAGGCTATTAATCATCTCTTGGAAATAAAGGCCGTGGAACCAGTCCCGGCCAAACAGATAGGGAAAGGTTTTTACTCCATCCTCTTTGTAATGCCGAAGGCCTCGGGGGGATGGAGAGCCATTCTCGATCTAAAAAGGCTAAATACTTACCTGCTGTACAAAAAATTCAAGATGCAGACTCTACAATCCATCCTGGCCAGCATCAGGAGGCACGACTTCCTGATGTCTATGGACCTCACGGAAGTGTACCTACACATCCCAATCCTTCTCAAACATCACAGATTTCTCAGATTCTGTTACAAATCCTGTCATTATCAATACAGAGCTCTGCCATTTGGCCTGTCATCTGCTCCGAGGGTGTTCACAAAGATCTTGACAGTTCTAGCTGACCACCTGAGTCTGGTTCCAATACGGATCCAGTGCTACCTGGACGACATTCTCATACAGTCATTGTCAGTTCAGACAGCAAGGGTGGATGTAGCCCTCACCATCGAGGTACTTTAGAACCACGGATTCTCTGTGAACTTCCTAAAGAGCCAGTTAGTTCCCTCCACTCGTCTTCTTCATTTGGGGGCAGTCATAGATACGGAACAGTACAGAGTCTGCCTGTCACCGGATCGCCAGGTCAGTATCCGGACGTCAGGTCCAACACAACCATGTGGTTCCCCTGATTACCCTCTCCCAACTATTAGGGGAAATGATCTCGTGCATCTCCATTGTGCCTTGGGCCAGGCTATACTCCAGGGCCCTACAGTGGTTCCTCCTCCCCTTTCAAAGGAGGAAACTCACATCTTCCAACAAGAAAGTGCCACCCCTAATTTTGAGGTCTCTCCCCTGGTGGACTTCCCAAACGATAGCCGGAGGTGCAACTTTCAAGGAACCAGCACGGCTCACTCTCACCACCGATGCCAGCCTCTTTGGCTGGGGAGCTCATCTCTAATCCCAATTAGCTCAGGGACGGTGGTCCCTACGAGACCTGAAGCACAACATAAACTGGTTGGAGCTCAGAGCCATACATCTAGCATTATGGCACTTCGGACACAAGGTAAGAGGGCAGCACATTCTGGTCCTCACGGACAACATAGCGGCAAAAGCCCATGTGAACCGGCAGGGAGGCACCCGGTCCCAGTCTCTCATGACACAGGCCAGGCTACTATGCTCCTGGGCAGAGGCCAACCTCTCCTCCATCAAGGCAGCTCACATTTCGGGAGAGACAAACAGGCAGGCGGATGCCTTGAGCAGAGCAATGATAAACCACTCGGAGTGGCGTCTGCTTTCAGCTCTATTCGCAGAGATAGCGGAGAGGTTCGGCCGCCCGGCTCTGGATCTGTTCGCATCTCCAGAGAATTCACAGCTCCTGCAGTTCTTTTCCTGTTTCCCGTCTCTGGGGGTGGAAGGAGTGGACACACTTTGCAGTCCGTGGCCCAGGGACCTACTGTACGCTTTTCCCCCTCTTCCTCTAATGCCAGCAGTCATACGCA